AAATCAGTCTTGGTTGCTAAGAATGATAGCGCAAGCCCTTTATATTCGTTGTTGCTCTTCGTTGTGGTGCCTCTAACGCCTCTAGGTCGCACTTCAACCAAGGTTGCCAAGCTGAGCTAAGGTATTCAGCATGCGGCCGCACGTAGGAATTGTGAATCATTGGGAAGATTGATGGGTCGAATCTCCCGAATGCCCTACGCAACATGCCTACGTGCTGGTTGCCTCTTTTCGCAGCCACCTCAGTCTGTTTTAAACAGTTGAGGTCGCACTGTACAAGCACACCAAGGTCACGCTCCTGGGAGCTGGTCTGCAATCTGTTTGTCCCAAGCAAATATGTGTAATTATGTATGTGCAATTATGCACAACGCGACATTTGTCTACGTTGAATGGTAGAGCGTTCTGAACTGACCAGTTCGACACTGTGCTAACATTGCACTGGAGCCTTTCGTGGTCGTCCGGTCTTCTGATCCTTCGCCATATCTTGATATAATCGGCGAAAAAGGAAATCTGAAGCAATTAATCTCGCCAAATCGATAATTAACACTAAGAATATACGAAGTCCAAGCACCGAACCTTATAGTAAACCAAACACCACGTCGATTGCATCGGACAATGATCCTCGGACTCTTGTCTCTAACTATCGTTCATGTAGAAAATTGCTAATCCAACTCAGGATTGGGTCATCAATGCCGTAGTTCCGAAGCTTCTGAAAAAGTATTCGATGTTCTAATCGAGCAAAGGCGTTTGAGAAGTTCAGGTAGATAACATCGACCCCTGCTCCATCATCAACAGCTTTAGTCCAGCTATTACGTGTAAGTAATAGGTTAGTAGTACACGAATGTTTTTGACGGAAGCTATGTTGCTCTCAGGCTATTAAGTGGTGAATTTCCAGATACTGCATCAGCGCATCTGCGATGATTGATTCCATAACTTTGGATAGAATATGAAGTAGTGTTACTGGACGGCAGTTGGTAGAGTCAGTGTGGCTATCTCATTTAAGGATAGGAGTGATGACCCCTCGCTTTCATTCTGTTGGGATATGGATCTCTTCCAGACATCTCTGAAAGAAAACAGTCACTGATTCTGCGAGAGCATTAGCTACGGCCTGCAGAGCCTTTGGTCGGATGTTGTCGACCCCATGAGAACTCTGATTGAGCAAGGATGACAACTTCTAAAACACAGTTTCCGCTGTGAAGATGATGTTGTCTAAACCCGACGGTAAAATAATAGAAACGAGGAGAATATTTGGCCTCGTTACTTGCTGGAATGTTTGGGAGAAATGGAGCCATAGGAGATCGGCTGCTTCCATTACTGATCACGTGCACCCATCAGCCGTGACTAGTGCTAGAATCCCCAGCTTCACCTTTCAAAGGTCGTTAACGTGCCTGTACAGATGTTTACGGTTCGTGCAGTATCGCTTCATTAACACCTGCTGATGCGTGACCATGTCTTCGCGGATCAGTTTCACACAGAAGTTACGATGTGTCACCTATGCAGTCCAGGTTTGGGCATTAGAGCTGTCTTTGTGAGCTCGCCATGCCAAACTCCTCCGGGAAACACATTTACGTATCCAACACTTCAGAAATGAGTTATGTCTGTTTTGGGATTGGAAGGACTTCTGTTCCGGTGTTTGCGCTACCAGTGTGCTAAACTTCCTTATACAGCTTTCCAAGGCAACATCTGTGGGGCATTATGGTAAGAGAGACCAAGATGTATCCTTAACAAGCGTAAATTAGACAATATATCGCGACATTATGCGCTTTATCATCCTAGTTTTAAGGATACTCCGGATAGTATATATAGTCAACTAGTAGAGTAACATGCTCACTACGACCCAGGGGTGTGCGTGAGCAAAAGATCCAGTATCGATAGCTTGTTAGCAGTTCGAAATCTAGTGGAAGAGGTTACCTCGTTGTACTGAGGGTGACTAGCAATCAGCTCTTACAAGCAGACTTTATAGTGCGTACCCTCGGTTGCTGGCGCCTCTATATCGTGCACGTTAAAGTCTTCAGCGATAAGAATGTGGGTGTAGGACTCGTTTAAAGCAAACTGAAGAACGTGGTTTAGTTTGGAGTCCATTTCCGACGTTGAGTTTGGTGGGCGGTACATCACGGCTAGTAGACATGTGTCCTTGTTTCGCAACCATAGGAGGTATCAAATCGAATGAGGGGCGTGGATTTCCGGGTCAGTGATAATTGCCCATCCGTGGTTTGTATTATAATAAAGAGTTGCACCACCACCCTTTCCGGTTCTATCGTTCCGAAGCAGCTACGTACTGGGTAAATTTATCTCAGAATCGTTTATCTCAAGGAGCTCAGATTCGGTAATCTCAAGGATCTCAGAATCGGTTGTTTCAACATGCCATCTGAGCAAGAAGCCATAACTAATACAATTTCATGGCATATTGCGCGGTTCGGAGGTGCCAGACAGTGCTTATCTAGTAAGCGCGTCTCGATGAAAGCCCAATCATCCTTCAAATTTAGCGCTTACGCAGTTGGTTTATCCCACATGCGAAAGCGTCACTATATGCAACTCAGAGCGTATTGCCTGCGTGTCAATGAGAAGAAGGCCTTTATACTAGCACCGACGTATTCATTCCCATTGGTACAGTACGCCGCCCTCCTCCATTCTCCTTACTCTGGCCCGTACCACGTCGTATTCAGAACCGACATGACGTTTGCCACTGAACAACATAGTAAAACTTAGCGGATCCATATCGAATGACTCAAGCCAGCATTCTTTGTCGAACCTGATTCTATTGTGCAAACAAGCAGCTTCTCATTCTGTATATCACGGGCAGCTCCGTAACCGCAGTCCAGTAAACTTGCCCCAACGGAACCAACAATCTTAATCAACGTCCCCTGACTCGACCTATTATCAGTCGACATGGATAGGAAACATGACTTCAAGTTTGTTGTTCAGAGGTTGTTAGCATTTGATAGTTTCCAATCGCACGTATTGCACTCTTTCATGTCCCGTTTTCATGAGTTTACAAAGTTTCTCTAATATCCACAAAAGAAGAATAAAACGATTTGAGTACACCAAAAACCAGCAGCATTTGAAAGCGTCAAATCGGCTTCTTAGGTTTCTCGAATTACATAATTTTTGTACATATATCCCTACATCGACGTTGCTGCTATCATTTTTCTTTCTATGTTCACACCGCCGTTTGGTTACCCTCGGTTTCACCATTCGCTGCGTCACTGCAACGCAACTCGCAGCACAACAACATTCCCGCTACGCTAGCTATTCCGACGTTCATGCAAGGTCTCACCACCTTTTGCTGATTCCACAAAGTAGGTAAGAAAAGGGAGAGCCTGTCAGGATGCAAGCTCATTCGTGCTTTTCCCAACAGCTGCAGCAGATTTCCTTGCCTGGTCTAGAAGAAGGTTGGCTGGTGACGGATAGTTTACACGTATTTCAATGGACTTCTTACACATATTGCTCTGGAGGAGGGCTCTGTAGCTGTCTAGATTTCCTCAGTTCTCATGTGTAAAAGTGTAACCATAACTACTGGTTCAGTGTACCTTTAAGCAATCGGTGCGAATATCTGAATGCATATTCCGCTCAAGTATTTTAATGGAGTCCAGCCTTCGCTTGGTGCTTTGGGTTTCAACCCGCGAGCGCTCTATGTGCTGCACTCTTTTCGTTCTCCCAGCTTTCTGTTTACACCGATGTGGGTTTTACGGAGCCTTGTACTGTACGAAATAAAGCTTTCCCTGGAACTCCGTCCGCCTTCTGCAACCGTCTTCTTGACCTCGCTAATGCAACTTACTCGGGCATTTGAAGCACATTTTTGCTTTCCTTGACTTGAAAGACTAGGGGTGGTACGGATGCGCCATTTCTTTGCATATGTCCTTTTTACCAAATGCGTGCTCAACTGGGACGGCTGGTCCATAATATGTGCAGACAGGGGAGATTACCAAGTTGAAAATACACAACGGTGTTTTGCGTGTTCCCAGCAGGTAACACTGGTCGTTCGATGCGCCTCGGATACTGGCCAGGAACGATGACATGTTAGAGACATGTCAATACGGAATGGTAGAGAAGATATAAGCAGCTGGACCCAACGTACAACATAATAAGTAGTTGCTTTATTCTCGACGCCTACAATGGCATGATTATATTAATACAAACGTGTATGCCCGGTAATTGTACACAAATGTCACAAGTTAACCTACGCATAGTGGATGCATATGTGTATGTGCCGGCTGCAAGGACTGGAGAGTGAAGAAGTAGGACAATAACTCCCATTCTCGACAAGAGTATGGGGGTGTGCTCTGCAAGCGAGCAAGCAAAGCAAATCAATGTGGTAGAAAGTGGTACCGCATTAACCACAACGTGTAAAAGCACAGTGAATGGACAGTCACCAGAATTCTATTACGGAACATGCGACACGTAGTGAACGACTGGACGCAGGACAAGCAAATTATCAACAACCGAAAAAGTGAGTGTACAAGTCCTTAAAGCCAACAGTAACTAAAAGGGAAAGGTCAATTGGTAGCTACGTTGATAAAAGGATTCAGCAAGTCTTCATTCGTCCGTGGGTCCTTGCGAATATGTAAAGGAAAGCCAAAGAAAGAGACCATATAAGTAGTCTTTAAAACGATGCAAAGCGGTTTTGATTTCGTTACAGGACGAGGAACGAAGTAGCGCGGGACTCACTAGAGCTAAAGTGAGTGCAGATAGACAGACATGATCATGACGCAAGGCTCATAGACTCAAACACTGTGCAATATTAAAATTGTACGTATCTAATCCACTACAGCTCTCCCGTGTCTACGCGACGTCAAAGAAACAATGAAATCAGTTAGTAGCGAGCGGGCGAAGTATTTCGTTTAAGAACAAACACCAATGATTTTTTGCGTCACTTAAAAACAGTATATTTATTTTTAAACTTCTACATTTAAAATACATCTGGCTATAATTATGCTCTACGGAGTAAAACTAGTTTGTTATAATCAACCAAGTAACTGTATCTATGGCTTTAATGTCAACAACACGGGATAAACTAGAGCATCCAACACATGAAATAGCGGGAAGTAGATTTCCGGCTCGTGTGCTTTAAAACAGCACTGTGCCAGAAAAAGAATTTAGTACGATTTATGTCGACAAATGAAATATAAATGAAAATTAATTAAAAAGTTAAAGTTAACTTATAGTAGGCAATTCATTGTAAAGAAATGCGTTAAAATAAGGACGGAAATATATTGAACTTAAAAGTAAAATAACATCTTAGTGAAAAAATGTGACCATATTCATGTGTATGTGTAAAGGAAAGCATTTATGGCTTCTAATTATTTCTTTTCTATCTGACTAAAAATTACAGCAGTACCAGACCACACAACCCAATATCGGACGATTTTTTTCATTCCTTGGATACTCCGCCGGATAAACTATGTCGAGTAGGTCCTATATTTAACTTGTTAAAATTATCGTCCAAGGCTTCATAGAGGATGAAGAACAGCCAGATGACCTCGTTCGTTATACGTGCGATATTTGTAACCGCCGATTTTCTGATGCAGCCTTGGTGAGTTTGTGAAATCTAAGTTAAATAGGTATCGTAATACATCTATGTAGCAGCTATATTCCATTGCATAAAACCCATTATTGTAGTTTATTGGAATTTAATTCATAATTTTAACCGTGACTAAAATTTTCACATAGTTTGTCTCAGCGCTAATGCTTCGGCGGTTTAACGCCGATCGACACATAGAGGAGAAAAACATCGCCAAAGTGCGAAAAGGTGTGTATTGGTTAGTCCATGCCTCAAATCGTTATGAATCTCTGTAATATTGTAACAATAAATTATTAAACATTTAGGCGCTCCGTAGTTTGTTACTTATTTTCGTATTTATGTATTACTTCATACGAAATTGTCTCCTAAATGTGCTCCATATGCTACCCCGCCTGCACATTTTGGCGGCATTTTCATTTGACTCATGTTTACACAAAAATAACGGTATGTAAATGACTTATCCCTGTGTAGCCTCATGGAAAGCGGACGGTTGGAATGCTAGGCTTAGCTGCACTTGGATGGACATGACTATTCTCTAGCATAGTTGCTTTTTATCCGGGTACATGTTTAGTGGTTTCATATGATGGTAGCTTTAGTAACACGCCACTAACATAGTATACAAACCAGAGTGGTCTTAACGAAATACGTGTTCCAATATTTTGAGCAAAACATTCGCTCTTACCTGGTTCCCAACACGTCACCTAGCAGCTTCTCTAGCAGCTTGATTAGACCACTCGTCAAATTCACATGTAGGTAAATGCTTATCGCCCATTTTGAAGACAGGGCAAACGACATCCTCCTTTTAGTCCCTAGTCAGAGAACAGGTCCAAAGCGACATCTCGAACAAGCTAGTGACGAGTCGACAACTCAATTGGAGTGTCATACAAGACATTGCGATAAGTCGCATTACCTCCAACAGCTTTACTAGAAGATATTTTCTTTAGAATGTTTACAAATTTTGGTTAGAAATCAGGCTGCTGGTACTCCCATCTTTAAATCAGCATGAGGCAAGTTGGCGTCGTGGTCAAATATATGAGTGTCTTGCTCTACAGGTATTCAAGCATTGACATGATCTGTGCGTAAAGCTGTGCCGACGGATTTACGCAACACCGACATGGACGGATTTAATCTACTGCGACTTCTAACATAAGCGCAATATCGTTTTTACTTTGCAACCGTTGAGTTGCTCAGCTGTACTTTATAACGGAGCCGAGCGACTCGTATAGGTTGCTGGAAACGGCTTCGCACTGCTCAATAGTACCTAAAGGTATCATCCGACTTGATTGCTCCGTCTGTTGTGCAACTAATATGCAACCGAGTCCAGTCGTGATGACTTTGGTCTGCTCAGGTTTCGCACTGACTAAGGGATGTGAAGAAGAGAACTAGCAAAGTCATATACTTCAAATGTATTTCTGGTAAAAGGGAGCAAGGCAAACTAGTTGCTTCCGCTCACATGGCCTGTAAGTTAGTTTGCCTAATATTTAGACTTTTAGTGCTGAGCGCTTTGTATTGAATAACAATGACACAGCTGAATGAAAGACAAACATGGTCACTGTCTTCTAGAAAGTGACCACAGTTATGCATTCGTACAGTCACCTGACTCTGCGAAGAGTGGAAACAAGAGAGATGAGGACTGACGCTATAAACACCAATAGTTGACCCATGAACAGGTGCCTAGGTACGTCCGGCTTCAAATCAACTGGCAAGCGTTCTCCCTATAAAAAGCTACAAATGCCTGTTTAACAACGCTGTGATGTAGCGCATATGACTAGCCACTAACTAAAGTTACTGCCCTAGCACCTTCCTAATAGGCATTGCACTTTAAGAGTATATTGGGCCCCCTGGTCCTTCACGGACAGAAAGGCGTATGAACCACCTATTTGGTCACCGGTCCCCAACGGGTTGCGACGCCCTCATATCGCCCTGTTGCCTTGTAGGTTAGATCTTCGATCAGAGGCTCGGGGTAGGCATCGTAAGACAATCCTCTACTTCGGCCTGTGCAACCGGGTAGTATCATGCCCACTGACGAATCATGGACTACACCACTTACTACTGCTACTACTATGCCTACCTTCTGTTTTACCTTAACCGCTTAATCTCCACTCACAGATCACCCCACCTCCCGTCCTTCACCCACATGTACTCTTATGTCTTCTACGGTCACCGTCACAAATGAGCCATGTCACGCATCTGATGGAAGTAACAGCCAAACTCCCGGTTTTTAATGTCCTGCGATCGCAACCGCCTCTCACTGCACATATGCCTTTCAGAGACCAGAGTACAAGACTAACGCCGTCAGCAGAATGGCCTCTCCGGTAAACCCTGACTCCAAATACTACTTGCGGCTTTCCGGAGACCCAGAAGCCGCCGCCACTGGCCAAGCTGGTATCGGGGTTACACTGAGTGCCAGGGCTGAATCAGCTCTGCGTGAGTGAATCCAAGTCAACAGCCGACTATGTGCAGTCAGACTGAGGTTTATGTAATGTAAGCAGGCGTCGAGACGTAAGCGTGCCTTGTTTGCCCTCTCCGCGTAGGCCCCTACAGACTGCAGCTCGGATGCAGTTAAATATAGCTTTTATCAACAACTACAGGAACTTCTTCGTTCCTCCAAAAGGACTGACAAAGTCATCCTTGCCGGGGACTTTAACGCTCGGGTTAGCCGCCTTCCACCAAACGAGCACCACATTGGGGGTAGCTTTGGTCTCGGTGGCAGTCGATCAGAAAATGGAAACAGACTGCTTGTTCTTTAGTCTGATCAGCGCTTGTTTCTTTCCAGCACTGGTTTTCGGCACTAGAGGGGACACACAGCTACCTGGCGCCGGCCCTCACAAAGGCAAGCGTGCTTCCAGCTTGACCACATGGCAATCAGCTACAGATGGCGCGGAAGCGTGACGGACTACCAATCGTACTGGTCAACATTTTAGGCACCGAACGCGCATTGGTTCGTGCTAAGATTTGCATACGTTTCGGAGGATCACCCAAGCGAGCTCACTACCGACCGGACGTCGCAAATCTACAAAACCCTGCCATTTTAACCAGGTACCAAGCCTCACTGTCAATCTTGCTTAGGCTCATGTATATATATATATATATATATATATACCAAGTACGAATTCGGATAAACCAGACACATTTGACAAAGTGATCGCTTAGTTAGATAACCATCTGAAGGAACTCGCAATGTCAGCTCGTATTTTGCAAGCGGAAAATGTTGCCGCAACTAACCATGTATACTCTGTATGGATTTGCCCCCACTTCTTAGAGGTGGCAACATCATATGTATGAGGTTGGTCACGGCCTCTTATGTACGTCTCAAACGAGCAGAAGTGAAATGAAGCTAGCACGGCTCTTGTGCGTATCTTGACGCCTAAGTCGTTCACCAATCAAGATCCTAACGGCGCTTTGTGTGCTAGTTTTGATGCTGCTCCTACCATACATACACTGGTGACCGCTATCATCAGTTGTGCACGGGATGCACCCACTAGATTAACTGCACAGTTTCGGCGCAAGCATCCACCGGGCTACGTGGTAGTTAATCTTGTACTTATACGAATATATCAATACAAGCATGCTCTTCTGATTTGTAGCAATTGCTTCGGTTCTGACTGTGCCGTCGTGAACGCCTGCCAACTCCTACGCCTCTTTCTGTGTGAAATGTTCAAGTTCGCGGGTAGTTACTCGTAACAATACGGATAAACCTCAGTAGACGGATCGGATATGAACTGGAATTATCTCCAACACGCGCTAACAAAAATACTCTGGCTAATTTTTCAGCCCAGTTTCAGTCCTTCGATTGGTAGCCCGATTTGTCTGAGCTCGAGAAGCTTGCTAGAATCTTTAAAAACTATTCTGTCAGAATGTCCGTTTGGAAGTAATCGTAACACGGAAGTACCAACTGACTAGAAATCGCAGCATTAACCTGCAGTGTTTGTAGATGGCGAACATTCTTGAGGTAAGGTAGGTTGGTGTCACTTGGAAGACCAGAGAGTAGTCTCAACTCATTTGCAGCATCGGTCCAAAAACGCTTTCAAGTGTATAGCCACAAGTGCTTAAGCTGAAATGCCGATTACCTTCCAGTCGGCGCAGAGCAGGAAATTCGTCACTTAGGTCACCTGAAGCCACCCGAGGCATTGATGTAACGATGACCAGTAGATGGGACACAGGATGATGCTCCTGAAATGCATTAAGACCCCTGATCCGGAGGACCAACAACCGTCATTACTGAAGGATATTGGATTATCGCTACTGATTACATTGGCTATGTTGTTTGGTGCTATTCGACACAAAGTGGTAGTACCACCTGACTGGCGTTTTGCAAACCTCTACGTAGAATCAGTCGCAGCGAAATTGACCCCAAGCCCCTCACTCGTATTACGTCGTGGCGGTTCACTGATCATCTTGAGCTATATTTTAAGTCAAGTCAATAAATTGCTTTGTGCAACCTGCATGGGTGAACATTCAGCTACATGGGTTATTAAAAAGCAGCCAATCATAGAAGTCTTTATTGAAATGAAGACAAGCTTTGACATGTTCGACTACAGCCACCTATGATGTTCTAACTTTTAAGGCGTGTCTATGGAGTCTCTTTTCATTCTTTACTCATTTTATCAATAATCCTAATGTAATACACTGGCATTCTGAAACTAGTTTGCCAAGCTCACTATGATAAAGGTAGTGTGTCTGGTTTTCGCATATTTGTTTCTCCTCAAATTTCTTGTCGGATTGATCATCTAGTAATGCAGCAGCTGTTCTCTCGGGTTTCCTCTTATCAGCCTAGTGTACACATATAACACTGTTTGTATGGATAAGACCCAGATGGTGCTTGAGTGTTTCTGAGTAGGCCTACTCCAGCGCTGCGTGCTGCGGTAAGTGATGCGCACTCTCAGTGGCACCGAGTAACAACTGTGTATTACGAATAAAATAAGCAAATGCTTAACAAGTCTCTTGACACAGCCAGAATTTGAACCACAAAATGGTGCAATTAAAACAAATTGAGAAAATTAATAGCATTT